TCCGGGAGATCGAGCCCGTCTATCCGCCGGAGAATCAGACGCAGTTCGCGATGGCGTATTACGTCATCAATTACTCTAAACTCCGTATTTGGGAGGTGCGTCGGTTGATTTGTTTGAGCTTGAACGGTGCTTGCATGAAAATTATGTTAAGCGCACGCTAGGTGTTTGTTTAATTGACGTTTTGAAATAATCAATCAAAGCCCTGATTCTTGCCTGGTTCTCGAGCTAAGAGTTTTGAACTGAACTGAAAATACTCTATTTTATGTCTTCGAATTTCTTTTGAAAATCGAATCTTGAAGTTATATTTATATTTCTTGGATTGGTTTTGTTGTGGTGCAGTTTGTGGAGTATAGCAAGATGATATACCTGGACGGTGATATCCAAGTGTATGATAACATTGATCACCTGTTTGATTTGGAGGATGGGCATTTGTATGCCGTTATGGATTGTTTCTGTGAGAAAACATGGAGCCACACTCCTCAGTACAAGATCGGCTACTGCCAGCAATGTCCAGACAAGGTGAAGTGGCCGGAAGATCTGGGCCAGCCACCAGCTCTTTACTTCAATGCCGGCATGTTCGTATTCGAGCCGAGCCTCTCTACGTATGAGAATCTCATGAGCACACTCAGGATAACTCCACCTACTCCCTTTGCAGAGCAGGTGAATCTTATGTTTATAATATGCCTGATTCTTGTGAGGTTATTTTAACCTCTGGCAATGGCTCAGATGGGGTCTTTCTTTCTTGCAGGATTTCTTGAATATGTTCTTCAGGGACATCTACAAGCCAATTCCAAACATCTACAATCTTGTTCTTGCCATGTTATGGCGCCACCCGGAGAATGTCGAGCTCGATCAAGTGAAAGTTGTTCACTATTGTGCGGCGGTGAGTGTTTAATTGGTCGACACTAATTTTTTGGTTTTTTTTTTTTTTGTTTTTTTAATGAAGGTGATTGATTTTCTAACAAGATTGAGTTTGTGTGGAGAATGCAACAGGGTTCTAAGCCATGGAGGTATACAGGGAAGGAGGAGAACATGCAAAGATCAGATATTAAGATGCTGGTGAAGAAGTGGTGGGATATTTACAATGATGAATCTTTGAATTATAAGAAATCGGTGGCTCAGAATGAGGGAGCTGTCGAGCCGGGAGTGTTGCAGCCACTGATTGTGGCTGCCATGAATGAGGCCAATGCGACTGGAATGAAGTTTATAGCAGCCCCTTCTGCAGCCTAATTGTAGAAAAATTGGAAGTTTTGGTAATGGGGCATTTAGTGGATTGTGAGGAAGAGCTTGGCATTAGAGGGTTATTTGGGCGGGGTACTATTACTAAGTTGTTTCTATTTGGGGGGTTTAGTATTTAATTTTCTTTTCTTCTGTTCTTATGCTTGTATTGTTGTAACTTGTAATGCTGGGTTTTGTTGTCCCAACCGTCGTCTGTAATTGGAAAATAATTAGGAGTGTTGCTATTGATGATATGAAAACTTTGGGTTGTTTCAGCTTCTGTGTTGCCTTAATTGAGGTGAAAATGTGTATGTAGCCATCGGAGGTTGAATGCAATGTGCATCAGATTCTGGTTTCTGTTTATTTTGGAGTATGCTGAATTGGTAATTTCCACCACTCCATAGGTTCAAAATTTTTGGCAATTAAAAACTTTTGAATTCCGCATTTGGCATAAATTTTTGGCAATCAAAACTCTTTTTTTTTTTTTTTTCTTCAATCAGATTATTATACACAACTTATGTTATTCACACCCATTCGAATGGAGAAATTCTGTTCCAGTGTATTTGTTAAGGTAATCAGTGCAATGTGTATATATTTTATTATGTTAGTCATAACTATCAAACTTAGATTACTTTTTACATAACTAGTACATACCCGTATTTGTTAATAAAATTGTTTTTAAAATTAGATAATAATAACAAAAAATTTATTTTTGTTTTTTAAATAATTTATTTAAAAATATATTATTATTTATATTTAATATGACATCATCATTTACACGACTTACCATCTTATATTATAATTTATTTTTTAATTTATATCAAACTTTGTAGTTAAGTTGATTTAAGTAAATATTTTTTTTTTTGAGTTAATAATAATAGGTAATCTTATTTTAATTATAAAAATAAAATAAAATTATTTATTTTATTTTTATTATAAATGTGAAATCTAAGTTCATTAAGACATGATTAAATTGACATATTAAATATAAAAATTGATTACACAAAAAATTATTAACTTTTTAATATATTAATATATTTATAATTTAAGTCAGTAAATTTGTTATGATTTTAAAAGAAGTATTGAAAAAGAAAAATTGGACAAAAAAATTATACCTTATGAATCAGGTGTACAATAAGAAATGATTTTAAAACATAATTAATGTTTTTAAAACGTAACATAAGTATTCAATATAGTTATTGATATTCTAAGCTTAATTACTTTTGAAATGAAAATAAATTAATTGCCACATAAGACCCAACATCTGCCAGGCTGACATTTAGGCTCGACACATTTGAAAATTATATATATGGGAGATTTGGTACTCATAAAATTTAACAGATGAAGCCGTGGTGATTTGGTACTCATAAAATTAAACAGCTGAAAGAAAAAAAA